GCCCTCGCTTTCCGGCCTGTGTTCCTCCTTGTGGCCCTCGCTTTCCGTTCTGGGTTCCTCCTTGTTGCCTTGACTTTCCACTTTGTTCTGAGGTTGCTCTGAGGGCTTCTGGCAACTGGGAAGGGAAAAAAATGGATCAACAGAGGGGCAACCACTACCCTCTCTGTGAAGATGATGATCTGGCACTCCCAATGCACCTGAGAGAGTCTCTGGGACTCCCAAGCCTCCCAGCTTTCTAAGGGAACATTGCTGCATTTCCCCAAATAGGTTCCGGCAGCCTGTGAGACTCAGCAAGTACCCCCCACTCCAAATCACACACATGAAGGAACATTCTGGTCTCCCTATCCCAGGCTGGCCTTGCAGGGTCTGGTTAAGATCATTTTCTGAAAATGGTCTTAGGGAACAATTACGTTTGCTCAATGCCTTTGTCCTTCCAGCTGTTCATGAACTCAGAGTTGTTCTGGGCAAACTCTTCACTGGGCATCATGTGCTCGTCGTCCACCTCACCATTGAAGTTGCCACACACACCGCACACCTGGGCGGGCAGAGGGCTTTTCAGTGCAGGGGAAGCTTAAGGGGAGTTTTCTCTGGAGCATCCTGCCCAGAAAACCACAGAGAGGTGCAGTGGGCAGCCCTCCTCCTACTGGCCACTGATCTCTCGTGGGGGATGGGGATGTTGCTCCCCCGCTCCCCACCAACAAGGTCAGGCCATACCCTCACCTTGTCATAATAGGCTACAGGGACTTTGATCTCTAAGAACTGGTTGCCATCAAAACGGACTTGTAGTCCATTATCAACATCGACGAGGGTGTTGGTGCCACTAGAAGTGATGCTGACCCCAGGGATCTGGGATGTGGCAGGAAGTGTAACTGTTGCATCATTGATCTGAAGAGGAGGGTGGCACCTGTGAGTGGGAGGAAGGACCAGAGTCCCCTCCCCAGAGCTTGCTCCTCCTTCTGGGTCATGTCATCGTGCCCAGCTCACCAGCACTTGGTGTTTCTTTTTCAGGATGATCTTAGAATTGAAGATGTTGATGTAGAGCTCAGGGAAGGAGATGGGACTGGTACTGTCTTGTTGGTTATAACTCTTGGCACTGATCTTGAAGAAAGGTAGGTTCATGTTGGGGTGGCACACTTTGACTAAGACTTGAGTGCAGATGTCCACAATGGCTTTATGGCTAACGCCATCAAAGCTCACAAACTGGGAACCCCCTGAGACCCGGCACACGCCTACATCTGGAGGGAAAGAGAGGTGGTTGAGACATCACCCCATCTCTGATAAGAACACTGTCCCACCCACTTGAAGCAAAGTGTGAAAGATGATATATCAAGAACTATGTAATGTTTTGAACAACCAACAATAAAAAAAAAAATTAAAAAAACAAAAACAAAAAAACACTGTCCCAAGGGAAATGATCCTGTACTCTTCCTGCCTGGGAAGGCCAGGGAGCCCCAAGAAGGAAGGAGGACTTTGTTCAAGAAAAAAATCAAGGCCCAAGGCCCCAGACTGGTATGACTCTTTGAGGTAGAGGGGAGTGTAATTCTACCAGGAAAGGACTTATTATATGCAACCCAAGTTCACGGCTGCTGCAGGAGAACATAGTTGCTTTGTTAGAATGTTTGTTCCCCAGAATTCATGCATTGGAAACTTAACTTCCAAAGTCATATGCTAGTGGTATTTGGAGGTGGTGCTTGATGCTACCCTGAGATGCTGCAGAGTCCCCACCAGCAAGAAGGCCCTCTCCAGATGCAGCCCTTCAAATTTGGACTTCCTAGCCTCCAAAATAAGAAGTGCATTTCCTGGGTGGGGTGTAGCTCAGTGGTAGAGCTCTTGGTTAGCATGGGCAAGACCCTGCATTCCATCCCCAGCACCAAAAGAAGGGAAGGCAGGAAATAAGACATTTCTTTTCTTTATAAATTATCTAGACTCCTGCATTCTGACATAATAGAAAATGGGTAACAGGTTACCTGTTTTCTGTTGCTATATCAGAATGCAGGGAACTGAAGCCCGAGATGCCCTTCCAGGCAGTGGGAAGACCATCTATCCTCAGAAGAGCCAAGAACTATTTGGTAGAGTTGAGCTGTGAATGTGAACCTGAATGCTACAGGGGCAGGTAGGGAGAATGTGGGGGGAGTGGGGGAACTGCTCTAGGTATCATGCTGGCCCTCCTACCTGAGGCCCTGCAGCGAAACAGCCCATCCAGGGCTCTGCAGGTCTGCTCGGACTTGCAGGTGGTCTTCTGGCAGGTAATGTTGTTTTGGACGGAGCAGGTGCAGAGGGTGGTGCAGGTGTTCTCCAGGTACCAGCTCTCCCCCAACTGTGGGGCATGGGGGTTGGCACAGCCAGCAGAAATTTGGAAGCTGGAGATAGGGGAGTGCACCCCACCCCTGGGACACTTTCTGCCTTTGCTTGCCACCTGTCCTGAGCTTTTTCTGGGCCACCCCACCCCCTGCTTTGTGGAAACGGGCAGGATTGGCCTCTCACCGTGTGGTAGAAGCCCTTTGAGTCAGTGCAGCCACACAGGCTGAGAGGCACACAGGACGTCCCACTCAGGATGAAGTCTCCGTGGCACTCACAACCCTCCACACAGGGCATAGAAGGGCACTTCATGGGGATCCTCAGGCTAAGGCAGGTGGCTGGGCAGGGGCTGGTACAGTAGTTATAGTGACTGCCAGAAGGACACCGCATAGCTACGAAGGACATGAGTGTTAGGAAAAGAGTGGCATTTACAGCTTCCAGCCTTGGAGCACTGGGAGTCCCTGGGACTATCTGTTGACAGATACACAGACCCACAAGCCAAGTGGCCTATCCACAGGAGAGAAATAAGCCAGGTACCAAGACACCCACTGCATGATTCCTTCGATGTGGAGATCCTAAAGGAGCTCAATTCATAGAGACAGGAAGCCGAATTGTGGTTGCCAGGGGCAAGAAAAGAATGGGCAGCTGTTTAGTGTGGTCTGAATTTCAGTTGGGGAGAACCAGCTCTGGAAATGGCTGCCCACCAGCATGAATGTTCTGCATTACACACTTCAAAAGTGTTACAATGAGGCTGAGGGTGTGGCTCAGTGGTAGAGTGCCCGCCCACCGTGCAACAGGCCCTGGGTTCCATTCTCAGCAACACAAAAGAAAAAACAAAAAAGGCCAAAATAGTAAATTTTATGTTACGTACATTTTCTCACAATTTTTTTTTGGAGGGGTGGGGGTACCAGAGATTGAACTCAGGGGCACTCAACCACTGAGCCCCATCCCCAGCCCTATTTTGTATTTTATTTAGAGACAGGGTCTCATTGAGTTGCTCAGCAACTTTTCTTTTACTGAGGACTGGCTTTGAACTTGAGATCCTCCTGCCTCAGCCTCCAGAGCTACTGGGATTTCAGGCCTGCACACCACGTGTATGGCTGGCTTCAATTTTTTTTTTTTTTTTAAGAACTTTTCTGAAAGAAAGAAAGAAAGGGAACAGAGCTTGTAATCCCAGCTACTGGGAAGGCTGAGGCAGGAAGATCACAAGTTCAAGGCCAGCCTGGGCAATTCAGTGAGACCCTGTTTCAAAATAAAATGAAAAAGGCTGGGGGTGTAGCTGAGTGGTAGAGAACTCACCTAGCCTGTAGGAGGCCCTGAATTCAATCCCCAGTACCATAAGAAGGGAGGAGGAAGGGGGGGAAAGAAAAGAAAGGGAAGAGCCCAGGGAAAAAGGAAGGAGGCTGTTTCCACTGGATAATTTCTTTTTTTTTTGGTACCAAGGATTGAACCCAGGGGTGCTTAACCACTGAGCCACATCCCCAGCTCTTTTTTTTACATTTTTATTTAGAAACAGGGTTTCACTAAGTTGCTTAGGGCCTCATTAAGTTGCTGAGGCTGGCTTTGAATTTGGTGTTCCTCCTGCCTCAAGCCTCTAGAGCCACTGGGATTACAGGTGTGTGCCACCATACTTGGCAAGGCAGAAATTTTTCATGAGAAGAGAGTCAGATGCAGGAGGCTCCGGTGCTGGGCTGGAGAGGTGGAGTGGACCACAGAGAAAGGCTCCAGGTGGGCGGGAGTGCTCTTCGCAGGTCAAAAGGCAGAGTGTGGGGGAGAGGGAGATCAGGGTGTGGGGGCTGTGGGAGCAGGTGGTAAGGTCACTCACGGCAGAAACTGCTGTTGCGCCAGGCAAGGGCATGGCCAGCCAGAGCACACAGGGACGCATAGGCCTGCAGGGAGTGGCACAGGGCCACAGTGCTGCCCTTGGTCCCACACTGGCCATACACACAACTGTAGAAGCTGGCCTGCGGGGGCACCACGTCGTGGCACATGGAGAAGGGCCCTGGAGGAAGACACAAGGTGGGGAGAGCAGAGGGTGAGCCTGGGGAACGAGTAGGACCTGTGTCTTCTGCGGGGCTCACTGGACATTCCTTTCCATCAAAACCTGGGTTTATTGGGAAATACTGGCTAAGACACAGAAGGGGTCTGGTCAGCCTTGGCTCCGAAGGGGGTGATGCTGGCCAGGCCACCTGTGCTTCCAGACTCCAGTGTTTCTGATCTTACTCTGGTTTCTTGCCTTATAGTCTTCCTCCTCGGTGTCCAGCCCCTGGGGTGGAGAGGAGGGCAAAGGGCCAGCAGGGGGTGTGTCTTACCCTGAGGGTCCACCAAGATGGCACAGCTCTTATTCCAGCTGTCCGACGTGCTGTTATATTGGCAGTTGGAGGATATGCCACCCCTCAGGAAGCAGCTGAATAAAGGGAGGAAAGGACAGACACTCAGGACTGAGAAAATGTCCTCCAAACTGAAGCACATGTGAATGAGAAACAGGAAGAGGCTCAGGAGAAGAGAATTACATGGCACCCTCAAGAAGGCCAAGAGCTACAGCAGGAAGGAATAAGGCAAGCTGGCCAGGAGGACTTCCTAAGAGGAGAAATGGAGCAGTGTCAGGGCAGGCAGGACAGCACAGAGGGAACAGGGATACCCAGGGGACAAAGGCCTCCAGGAGGCCTTCTGAGGTTTTCCCCCAGTATCAGCACCCCTGCCCCCGGCCCCATACTCACCCGGGTTCTGAGTCATCTGAGTGCTTCCAGGAGGCCCCCAGATACACCGAGCTGCCTATGGGCTTCTTATCTGGGCGTAGGTTGTCATCTAGGCTGTTGTTGTTGTAGTTCCCTGAAGGAAGAGGCAGTTAGCGGAGGCAACAGAGGCACAGGCTTACCCCAGCCCAGGCCACCACTTTCCCAACCAGAAGGGGGCCCCCTCACTTTTTGCCCACTCTGCACATCAAAGCTAACCCTTTCTTCCCCATCTCCAGCTTGCGAACACCAGCTGATTTCACCCATGCTCAATGACCCCTTTTGTGAGTCCACGTGGGAAGTCCCCCCCAACATCTAGACTTATTCCTTCTTGTGGCCCAGTGTCCTCAAGGGATTTGTCGGTTGACCAACACTCAGGACATCTAATGGAGATGTGTGGGGAGGCCAAGACCTCACTGCAGAGCCCAACCCTGTCCCAGCTTTCCCCTCAGTTTCCCAGGGAGCTCACCACACAGCCCACAGAGCTGGCCAGCATAGGAGGAGGGTACTGTCACCTCCACCAGGTGCTTCCCATCGTAGCGAACCTGAAGCCCAAAGTTCGTGTAGAGCAAAATAAAAGAGCCACTGAGCCTAACGATCACCTGGCCTGCCAGAGGCCACATGGGAAGGGATATCCGAAAGCCATTCACCTGCAGAGGTGGGGGATGCAGTAGAGGAGTCGGGAACTGGGGACTAAGATCAAAGGAAGGCAAAATCTTGGGAGCAGGAAGGAGCGACGGATGTTTCAGGGAGAGAGGAGGGAGTCCAAGGAGGAGGGGGCTGCCTGGTACCCCCAGGGGCTCAGGAGAAGAGGGACCAGCGGGCTGGGTTGGGGAGGGCCTGGGAGGAAGAAGCGGTACTCACCACGACCCTTCGACCTTTAATCAGTGAGATTCTGAGGTTAAAGATCTGCACGTTGACAGACTTGATGTAGGAGAGCTCCAAGTTCCCATCGCGGATCTCGTTGGTGGTGGTGACAAGAAAGTTGTTCTCTCGGGAACTGACCTTGCAAGGGCGGACCATGACGTAGGCACAGGTGCCCATGAAGTTGTGCAGAGCTCCGTCAAAGGTCAAGTAGTGGGGGTCGCCTGAGGCACTGCAGGTGGCCGCCCCTGGGAAGAGATGACAGGGCTTGGAGTCTTGTTGCACCGTGCCCAGGAAGCCCTGATCCAGGGCTGCCACCTTGGTGAGCCCACATTGGTATGGTACCTACAGCCCATCCTTGAACTTGGCGTTTCTCTAGGAGATAAAGTTGGCTTGGCTTGGGATGCCAAGGAGGGAGACAACCCTCTCCAACTCCACTCTGAACCTGGGAAGATACTGCTCCTGACCTAGGAAATCCCCTCCCAGCCTGGGATGGTTTCCATCTGGAATATTCCCCAGAGGCCCATGTTACAGACTTGGTCTTTGGCTTGGTGCTCTTGGGAGGTGGTATAAATGTTAAGAGGTGGAGCCTAGTGGGAGGTTTTAGGTCACTGGGGGATGCTCTTGCAGGGGATTTGAGGGACCCTGGTGTCTTCATTTTCTTTTCCTCTTGTCCCAGCCCTGAGGGGAGCAGTGCTGTGTTCAGTCACATACTCCCCACCGTGACTAGCTGCCTCACCAAAGACCCAGAAGCCAATAAGCCAAAGGGTTTTTTTGGCTCACAGTTTGGGAGGTTTATTCTCTAGTCTAGGGACTTTAAAAAAAAAAAAAAAAAAACCCTTTTTCTTTATAAGTTTATTTATCTCAGGGGTATATGTTACAGTAATTTCAAGCTAATTCACAGCCTCTGGGGTCCCAGCTCTCTGGGGAAGAAGATTTGGGCAGGATCTTCCCCTTGCTTGAGGCCCCCTGCTCACCTGCTCTCCTGACCTCTCACCTCGGGCACGGCAGCCATAGGTGCCATCTTGCAGCATACAGGCCTCCTGGGCCTTACATTTCCAGGGCTGGCAGTGAATTTTGTTGTTCTTTTCACAGACACAGAACTCCTTGCAGCCTGGTTTGTACCACTGTTCCCCTAGCTGGAGAAAGAAAAGAAAGCAGCTTTTCCCAGGTCCAACACAAGAGCCCACTGCCGCTCCAAGGGCTGGCCTACTCACGGGGCATTCCGTCTTTCAAAAGTTCTATGCTTAGCTGTAAAACTCTGGTGTTGGCTCAGGGATGGAATCGCTTGATCATTTATTTGCTCACTATTTCAGCTGAGCTGTCTGTGTATCGTGGGAGGTGTTAGGAATTCAGTAATGAACCAGATGGAAAATGTCTCTGTCCCGACAGAACTCACAATCCAACAGGGGACAATAAATGTAAGTCAACTCTTGGATACACATCTCCAATGTGCGTCCAAGTGGAACCACCAGGGCACCCAAAGATCACTTCTCACCATGGACACCAGCAATAAGCACCTGATAATGGGAATTCTGAGAGAAGTTTCCTGACTCTGCTTATCAGGAAGGCTTCAAGGAGGAGGGAGCATTTCAACAGGGCCTCAAGGGAGAGGAAGGGTCCCAACAGGCAGAGGCTGAGAAGTAGAGCAGGGTATAAAAGGAACTGGGAAAAGGTCAGAGCATGGCACGGGGTGCAGTTCTGTTGTAGAGTGCCTGCTTCTGCTCACAAAGGGCTGGATTCGATCTTCAGCACCAAGTGCGAGGGGGTGGGTGGCCACAGCAAGAGTTGGACTGGGAGCATTTGGGGGTCCAGCCTGGAGCGGGGCCATGGAGGATGGCCAGGTGAACATCAGATGGCAGAGGGTTATTCTGGAGACTGGTGTCATTGCCAGACCTCTGGTGAGAGCTGGGCACAGAGCCTAGTTCTCAGTGATGCTTCTGAGAAGAGTGAAACAGGTGTGCAGAGAAAGAGACACAGGCCCTTCTGCAGAGTGGGACCCTCCAGAGGAGACAAGATTTGAAAACAGCACAGGGGAGACACAGAACTACTCAGGATTTCAGAGGATGGAAAATCTGGGCAAAATGATCGGTAAAATGACAGCTGAGAGCGGCAGCAGGGATGATGGGAAGGGACAGAAGGAGGGTCTCAGACTCTTAAGAGGTATCATGGGAAAGAGAGGGCCATGATGTCATCCCAGCCTGTGTGGAAAGGACTAGAGGTGAAGAAAGAGAGGAACTTGGAGGGCTCCATGGTGCAGCTCAATGGCAGATCATATTCAAGGTCCTGGGTTTGATCCCCAGCACCACACACACACACAAAAGGAGATTAGATCAGGGTCAGAATTTCCCAAACCCCAGGCCTAAATCCCCTGCCCTCCTGTGTTCCCCTGCTTTCTCTCTCTGGCCTCTCACCCTGGCCCAGGGAGCAAGTGCCCCCTGGCTCCAGGGCTGAGAGGCCCACCCCAGACACTCACTTTGAAGTAGGTTCCTGAAGCATCAAGGCACCCACACTGGGATGGAGGGACACACTCGAGGCCACTGAGGATGAAGCCCGGGTTACACTCGCAGGCCTCCACACAGTGGTCTGGGCAGGTCTTGTCAGAGAATCCCGAATGGCAGGTGTCCGGGCATGGATCGGCACACAAAGAGTAACTGCTATTGGCTGGACAGATCAGGGCTGTGGAGGGAGAAGCTCAAGTAAGGAGACAGGTGAGACTGAGGCAGAAAAGGGAAGAATGTGCTTGGAAGTCCCCAGCTAGAAAGGCTCCCGCCAATCTTTAGTAGAGAGGCTTTAAAAAGGAGCCCACTGACTCCTAGGGCCTACAGGGCCAGCAGTCTGTGCTAAGATGTGGTCACCTGGATGTTACCTTGGACTTTCATGGAAGCATACTGAGCCACAAAAGAACAGCCTCATCCGTACTGCTGTGTAGACATGCCCCAGGCCAAGTCCAGGGGCTAGGTCAGCTCTAAAGCACCTTCCCAGAGAGCCCAGCCATCCCTGGAGCTGTAAGGCAGCTTGGTGCCCTTCTAGCTCAGGTCTGCCCATATCAGAGGACCTGGCCAGGCATGTGAACACCCCTGTACTTGCCCTGTGCAGCATCAGTAGTTACAAGGCTACTGTTGAGTTTGCAAGTGACTGTGATTATCTCAGGGATGCTCCCAACTCTGCCCATTTTCCTGACCTCAGGTGAAGTGGGAGGTTCAACGCATCCCAAGCCCATGGGAGTGGCCTCTCTGCATTTGCAGGGAGGCGTCCTCTCCCCAGCTTCCAGTCACAACTCACGGCAAAACTGGGGTTTCCTCCAGGGCTTCACGGCATAGCCAGCGTGCTGGCAGGCTGCAGTCATGAACGAAAGATGGATACAAAGCATGAGATGGAAGCCCTGGAAGTTGCACATGTCATTCACGCAGTTGTCAAAGAAGGAAGAGACCTTCACGTGAAGCTGGCACTCCCTGAGGAAAGAGCCCAGGTTAGAGGGGAGGAGGGAGTGGCATTTCCCAGCCTCCACCTTGGAGGACTTTGGTGCCCAGCAGCCCCGCCTGCCCTCCTCCATACTCAAACACTCCTTTGGAGCTGACAAGCTGGCCACAGAACTTGGACCCTGACATAGTGCTCTGCAAGGCTCGCCCACAAGTTGGGGTACGTGTCTCGATACCCTCGCACCTAAAAGAGACCCAGTCAAATGCTAAAGTCCATGGCTCACTTCCAATTGGGGCCCTATGCCATTTGTCAGCAAGGCTGTGCCCAAAGGAGGTGGGAAAATCTGGAGTCTCCAGGGAGAAAAAGAGAGAGGGGTCTCTCTATGTTGCCAAGTTTGGCTTTGAACTCCTGGATCCAAGCAATCCTCCCGCCTCCCGAGTAGCTGGGACTACAGGTGTGCGCCATCACACCTGGTTCTGGTTGGTTTTAAAAGGGCCCAAAGTGAGAGAGTGGGGAAGGAGAGCAGCCCATGGGCCCCCAGTGGGGTCTCCTCACTCCTGCTCGGTCTGCCAGCTGTTCCCCAGATCCTCATCGTCTTCAGCTGGCTCACCATCTGGCTTCAGGTTGTCATTGCTGCTGTCCCCGTCAAAGTTTCCACAGAAACCACAGAGTTTGCCTGAGAACACACTGTGGGGCCCAGGAGAGGGGGGAGCATGAATGGGGTGAAGGGGCCTCCGTCATTGGAGTGGAGGGGATAATGAGCTGCAGGCCCAGAGGAGAAGGCTCAAAGGGGATAGAGAAGGACCTACTCCTGACATGGGTGGCACACCAGGCACACGAGACCTGGAGCCAGCTGTGTGGTCTCCCTTCAGCCCCAACATCCGGTCATGATTGACCTTACCAGCCCTACACCACTCCGGCTCGCTCTACGTGTGTGGGTCTAAAAAGTCTGTCTTTCCCTTGTCTGTCCATCTGGGGAGCCAAGAAGACAGCCCCAGAGCACGTGAGCAACTCCTCCTCTAGAACATTCCCAAGGCATTGTGTGTACATCCTGCCATTATTCCACTGTGCTGAAACCATTTCCTTCTGTCTCCCCGTCCAAGGGAAGGCCGACCACTTGAGCTAGGTGCTTCCTACCCTTTGGGAGGAACAGAAGTGACTGAGCGCTAGTGCTTGGAATGGAAAAAAGAGGGAGGTGGATGGAGAAGCCCTGGTCGGGAGAAGCCTCAGCTGCCTGGCGGGGATGCTCCCTCACCTGGACATAGTCACAAACAGCTGCTGGTGGCCGTCCCACTTTATAAGCAAACCAAATGCTGTTTTCACTTTCACAAACCGCCCACTTGGACGTATGATGACACCTTTAGAAGGTCTGACTGGGAGGGTGACTCGCTGACCCTTAACCTGGCAGAGGAAGGGGCAGAGAGACTGATCAGGGGGATCAAGGAAGACCCCAAGACTCCCGTATCCACAGCCACAAGGTATAACATCCTTCACAGCATCCTAACAACCTCTTCCACCACAGCGGCTTGGAGTCTCACCATCAGTGCCCACTGGGCTGGGGCTGACCAGGAGCAGGTCTTGGTCACATTTAGCTGCCCCAGCAGGGGTGGATGGGGCTCACCAGTGTTTGTCTGCCCTTGAGCAGGGTGATGGTAGTCTCAGACAGGATCACATGAACCTTGCTCAGGCAGGTCAGTCCTCTGGGTCCCCATTCCTCATTCTTGGCTAAGACTTTGAAGAATGTGTCTGGGTGGGAGAAGGGCTCATTCAGTAAACTATTCTTTCTTTTTTTTTTTGCAGTGTTGGGGATTTGACCTAGGGCCTCACACATGCTAGGCAAGCAATTCTACTGCTGAGCTACACGCCAGCTCAGTAATAATATCTCAAGTGTGTGCCATGGATCGAAGCCTGGCACTGTGGGTAAAACACAGGCCCTGCAGTTTAGGAGAGGAGGCAGGACACAAGCAGGAGGGGGTGGATGTCTACCCTCCTCCAGAACAGCCTGCACCGCTGCATCTCCCCTTGTGTGTAGTGACACCCTCCAGGCTATCTGTGCACCTTCACTAGTCTCTTTAACAGTGATTGCTACTGTGTCACATGGGCCCTCAATAAGAGCTGGCTGAGGACACAACTGATATCTCAGACTGCATTTTCCCCAGAAGTCTGAGCCCTAGACTCCTGGCTCTGGAGGGGGAGGGGATGGTTTCCACCCTCACCTTAAGAGGACCTTGCTCCAGGATGGCCTCTTCCTTTCCTCTGCTCCCAGCCCTGTCCTGTCCCTCCTCTGTTCCCTGTCCTGCTGGCCTCCACTGTGCCCCTCAGAGCCCCCTCCTCTGACCTCAGGGCCTCAGGACCTACTTGAGGAGTTTCGGCAGGGCTGAGTCAAGACATAGGTGCATTTGCCTGAGAAGTTGATGTGCCTCTCATCAAAGGTGACATAATGAGGGTCACCATAGACCATGCAGGTGGAAGTGCCTACAGAGGGGAGAAAGGAGGACCCAGGAAGCTGCTTCCACTGCCTAGCCAGGCTGGATCCCATACCCCAAGTCTCCCAGCTGGTGACACACCCCTGCTCCTCTGCTCCAAAGACAGCTTGGGATCTTGGTGTCATACTCCTTTCGAGAGCATGCAAGGAGGTACTCACCATAGGGGTGGCATCCATACTCGCCATCCTTCAGCTGGCACACTGTGTGTGATCCACACTCAGAGATATGGCACTCCATATGGCTGCCAGCAAGGCATTGGCAACGTTCTGTGCAGTTGGGGCTGAACCATTCTTGCCCAAACTGGGAGCAAGGGATCTAGAGTTACAGAGCCATAGTTCTTGAGGCCTCCACCTTCTCCTCTACCTTACCCAGGGAAGAGGGTGCTGCCCAATGTGCACACCTAAACTTGTTTGCACTCCCTTTTCCAACCACAGGACATTTGCATGTACTATTCTCCCATCCTAGAAGGCTCTTCCTTTCCCATCTTTCTCCTCCTTCTCCATCTTGTGTGTGTGTGTGTGTGTGTGTGTTTGTGGTGTGTGTGTGTGTGTGTGTGTGTGTGTAGCACTGGGGATTGAACTCAGGGGTGCTTAACCATTGAACTATATCCCCAGCCCTTTTATTTTTTATTTTGAGATAGGGGCCTGCTAAGTTGCTGAGACTGGCTTGAACTTGTGATCCTCCCAGCCTCCCAAGTGGCTGGAATTACAGGCATGGACCACTGTGTCGACCCTCCCTGTCTTTCTAATTCATTCTTCTACAACCAATAGAGTTCAGCTCAAGGACAGCTTTCTCAGAAAGACTGCCCAGACCCCCTAACAAGGTCATCCTCACATCTCTGGGGACCTTCCTTCCAAGGACTTCCCACAGTTGCACTTTTAGATTTCTTTTATGATTGATTATAAGTGTCCCAAGCAGGGATTATGTCTGTCTTTACACACCATCTTGACCCCAACATGTCACAATAGAAACTCTTGTTCAATCAGTACTTGCTGAGCCAGGCATGGTGGTGTATGCCTATGATCCCAGAAGCTCAGGAGGCTGAGACTGGAGGAGATCACAAGTTCAAAGCCGGCCTCAGCAACTTAGGAAGGCCCTAAGCAATGTAGTGAGACCCTGACTCAAAATAAAAAAACGAACAAAAAAGGCTGGAGATGTAGCTCAGTGGGAAAGTGCCCATGGGTTAAATCTCCAGTACCAATAAATAAATAAATAAATAATTGCTGAGCGGAAGAGTCAACCAAGGCCCAATGTGTGCCCCTCTAAATCTGAGAGCATTAGAAGGACAAGGAGCTGCTGGGTGCAGTGGTGCCTGTCTATAATCCCAGCGGCTCGGTAGGCTGCGACAGGAGTATCACGAATCCAAAGCCAGCCTTAGCATGCTGAGGCTTGCTAAGCAACTCAGTGAGACCCTGTCTTTAAATAAAATACAAAATAGAACTGGAGGTGCGGCTCACTGGTTGAGTGCCCCCAAGTTTAATCTCTAGTACCAATAAAAAAAAAAAAAAAAAGAAGACAGCCAAGGAGCTTGCCACATTCATGGTGACTCCATACCAGGTGGGTAGAAAGTACTAAATAATGGACATTTGCTGAATGCGTCTATGCCATCCCAGGACAGTGAAGAGACCCTTGATACTGATGGTCACAACGATCCTTCTGCCCAGGCTGTTGCTGAACCTAGACCTATCACCCACTTAGGGAGCCCCAGGAGACTGGTTAAAGGGGGCACAGGAGGAAGCAGTCCCTGAAGAGGGAAGTAGGAGCTCTGACGCCAAAGGGCAGAACACCTGCAGCTGAGGGGCAGCACCAGGTACTAATGAATAGCTTAATGCACTTAATTAATAGGCTGCATATGATATTTATCATAAATTGTTATAATAATAATGAACATTTACTAAGTAATTTGCATGTGTCAGGATCTAATTGCATCCTTACAACAATCCTATTTTGCACACTTTTATAGATATGGAAACAGGTTTAAAGAGGTAAAGAAATTTGCCCAAGGTCACTCAGTGAATGAACCCAGCCTGGGCACAAGCTCTGCTTGGCCTGGCTCTAGACCTGCCCCGTCACTCAGGCCACCAGGCACATGCTACTAAGCTCTGGATATATGGCCAGTCCACACTGACATATGCTATAGGTGTAACATATACACTGGATTTTGAAGATTTAGCATGAGGAAAAAAAAAAACTAAAATTAACCATCTCATCAATTAGTCTCTCTTTTACCCTCAGTGTGGGAGTCAACATCAGGGTCTTGCACATGAAAGCATGTGCCCTACCATTAAGCCACACCCAGCCCTAGTAACTCTTTATTGATTAAACACTGAAATGATAATATTTGAAATTGAGTACAGTAAGCCCTCCATAGCTAGAGATTCACCTGCAGATTCAACTAGCAGAGGATGAAAGGTAATTTTTTAAAAAAATTGCATCTGTACTGAACATGTACCTTCTAGCAACTACTAAAACAATACTATTCACATAGCATTTATACTGCATCAGGTATTATAAATAACCCAGAGATGATTCAAACAGTCCAGGAGGATCTGTATATGTTGGTAAATGCTATGCCATTTATATAAGGCACTTGACTTGGGCAGATTTTGGGATTTTGGAGGATTGTTCTGGAACAAATCTCTCCTGGATTCCAAGGGAAGACTATAGATTATTGAAATGAATTTTACCAATTTCCTTGTGTTTTTTTTTAAATTTATTTAAAAAGATGTTTCCTTGTGCTTTTTTTCCTCCCAGTGGTGCTGGGGCTCAAACCCAGGACCTTGTGTGTGCTGCCTCAGAGCTCTACCATCAGCCTCATCCCTTCCGCTTTCTTATCATGGCTATTAGGCAACCTAACATGACCCCCACGCCACTCCTACCAAACAGCTCTGGCCCACAGCCTGTTCCCTCTGGAGCTGTGCTCTATCCAATCTCCCCAGCAGACCATCAATTCAGGGAGGCAAAGAGAGTTAGTGACTTCTGTCTTTTGAGCTTACCAAGATTTCAGGATTTGCAAGTTTCTTTGGCAGAAGAGAATTCTAGAAATCTCTCCACATATTTTGGTTGTTGCTGGTTCGGTGCTGGGGATGGAGCCAGGGACCATGAGTGACTAGCTCATCAGCACAGATTAGCATCACGGTGTGCCAAAAGAGGCGCGTACCCCAGATATATGGTATGAACAGAGAGAATCATCAAAACACCACAGGCTGAGGGATGGGGGTAAAGGTCAGTGATGAAGCACTTGCGTCGCTTGAGCAAGGCCCTGAGTTTGATCACCAGCACCACAAAACCAAAACAACAAGAACAAAACCCATGCTGAATGGAGGACTCTGTCACTGTGAAGCCACAGCTTTGAGCTTACCCCTGGGGACGATCCAAGTTCATCTCATCCCAGTGCACAAATGCAGTGAGGACCCAGGTGTTCCGCCATCAGTCTCCCTCAGGGGAACCAGCATCCCTGTGGACTTACCTTATAGTAGCTTTTGCCGTAGACACAATCACAGGAAGAGGCATTGATGCATTTGTTGTCATTAAACAAAAAACCAGGATTGCAGACACAGCCTGGCTGGCAGAGTATATTGCAGTTGGGTTTGGGGTTCTTGCAGGATGCAGGGCAGGCACAGGATTCATAGTGGGAATTTGGGGAGCACTTCACTAAAGGCAAAACATGATCTCATCAAACCTTCACTCTGGAGCTGTTCCCAGGGCCTTCCTGTCTCTCCCTCATCCCCAAACTCAAGTTCTCCTCTAAGAAGTAGGCCCATATTGTCCCTCCATCAAAAGGAATATGTAGCCCAACATGGATGGACCTGATGACATCGTACTCAGCAACAAAAGACAGATACAAAGGCTCACATAGGATTCCATTTGTCTGAAATGTCCAGGTCACGCAAATCCATGGTTACAGAAAGGAGATCAGTGTCATCAGGGACTGGGAAGAAGCAGGGAGGAGCTTATGGGGTTTCTTTCTGGGATTAAAAAAAAAAAAATGTCAATAAAGATGGAATACTGGGGGCTGGGGTTGTGGCTCAGTGGTACAGCGCTTGCCAGCACGTGTGAGGTCCTGGGTTGGATCCTCAGCACCACATAAAGAATAAACAAATGGGGCTGGGGTTGTGGCTCAGTGGTAGAGCGCTTGCCTCGCAAGTGTGAGGCCCTGGGATCAATCTTCAGCATCACATAAATAAATAATAAAAATAAAGACATTGTGTCCATCTACAACTAAAAAATATATTTAAAAAAAGAATAAATAAATGAAATAAAGGTATTATTTCCATTGCAACCAAAAAATTTTTAAAAGAAAGAATGGAATATTGGTTGCATAAGCTTATGAATATATGTTCCAACCATTAAATTAGAGACTTTAAAAGGGTGAGGGGCTGCGGATGCAGCTCAGTAGTAGGGCATATGCTTGGCATGTATGAAGCCCTAGGTTTGATTTCCAGCACCCAAAAAACTGCAGTGAGGACCCAGGTGTGCGGGTGGGGTGGGAAGGTGAGTTATATGGTATATGAACTCTCTCCATAAAACATAAGGCGGATAGGAAGAAAGCCTGGAGCTCATGCCCACCTGCCTCCACCCACTCCTGCCCCATGTCCCTCCAGCTCTGGGCAGTATTCTTCCAAAGTTGTCATCTTTGGAGGGACGGGACTGGGCCATCTTCCCATAAGAAGGCTGACTTCCCACTGGAAGAATTCCTCTCCCCGACTCTGTCCTACTCGCTGTCTCTTACTTTCAGCTCTTTGGCCCAGTTCTGTCCCCATATACCTTTGGTAGTTTTGGGGGTGGTGGTGGTGGTGGTAGTGGTGGTGGTGGTGGTCATAGAGGTGGTGGTGGTAGTCGGGGAAGTGGTGCTCTTGTGAAAGTGTAGAGGCTTCACCAAGACTGTTGGCCCAGCGGGCAGGTCCGATGTACTAGGGCAGGATTCTTCAGTACAAGCTGAGGGCTTTTCTGTGGTTTTAGTGAGTTCCTCCACCGGGGTGGGGGTCTCCTCAGTGGCTTCGGGAAGTTCCTCTACGGTGGTCTCCTCCGCAGCTTCAGTGGGTTCCTCTGTGGTGGTGGTGGTGGTCTCCGGGGTGGTTTTGATGGGCTCCTCTGTGGTGGTAGTAGTGGTGGTGGTGGTGGTAGTGGTGGTGGTGGTGGTCGTCGTCGTCTCCGGGGTGGTCTCAGTGGGTTCCTCTGTGGTGGTGGTAGTGGTCTCCGGGGTGGTTTCGATGGGTTCCTCTGTGGTAGTGATCTCCTCAGTGGTTTCAGCGGGTTCCTCTGTGGCCGAGGTGGTCTCCTCAAATTCAGTGGGTTCCTCTGTGGCAGTGGTGATTTCCTCAGTGGGTTCCTCCGTGGCGGTGGTGATCTCCTCGGTGATATCAGTGACTTGCTCTGTGGGGGTGGTTATCTCGATAGTGATGACAAAGGGTCTCATGGTGGAGGCAGTGAAGGTAGTGGAGGTAGTGGAGGTGGTAGAGGTGGTGGAGGTGGTGGAGGTGGTAGGGGTAGTGGGGATAGTGGAGGTAGTGGGGATAGTAGGGGTAGTGGGGGTAGTAGGAGTAGTGAGGGTAGTGGTAGTAGAGGGGGTAGTGGTAGTAG